CTAGGAATAAAGAAAATACTATAGCCCATCAAAGAGAGAGAATCATTTATACATTCAAGATGCTGCTTTGTAGAATTTATTATCAAGCTTAAATATTTAAAAATTTAAATAAAATATTATATCCTAATTATAATTGTTACATCATTTAAAAAAATCTGACTGATGGTGTTGATATGTAGAAATGTTTCATTTCATTATCAGTGTCATCAATTATTATTTATAATTACCTAAAGGGTTCTAAAACATGTTTTCTGACAAAAAAAAGACAAAGTGGAGTGGGATGGGTTCTTGTTGTAGTGGGAAAACATAACCTACACATGAAAATATAAATAGTGAAAACAAAAATCAATCCAAGAATTTCTTAAGTGTCTAAAATGTGTTAGCCACTGGGGATATAGAGACAAAAAATAAAATAGTTATTTAAGGCCTGTAAGGAGCTTATTGTCTGCCTACTGAAGTTAGCTTATATCAAATGGCAAATGAGTGGTAGGGGCAATGATAAATAGAGGATCCAGAGAGCAGGGAACCAGTTCAAAGGTTGGGATGGTAGGGGAACTCTTCATGAACAATCACAGGGTGATAGATTTAAAGTTGGAAGGGAATTAAGAGATTATGCAAGTAGACCACCTCATTTGGTAAATAAGGGACAGACTAGCCGAAGAACTGGAGTGGTTAGCTCGTGATCACAATGACAAATAAATCGGAAAGGCAGGATTAGAATACAGGTTCTGTTAATCTCAATCCAATGCTCATTCCACCACAATGCAGGAAGGTTGGAATTGTGCTATAGTTTGAAGGAAAGATAAAATTTAGATGAGCAGAGAGGAGACAGGAGGGCATTCCTAATCAGTTCAGGGAGACTAGCATAAGGAAAAGCATAATATACACAGCATGTTTGGGAGGTAATAAGTAGACCAGAAAACTGGGCCCAAAGTGTGTGTAGGGGAGTAATGGGAGACAAAATAGGATAAGAAGCAATCAAATTAACAAAGTCCTTAACTGCCAAGAAATTTAGGTTTTGTTCTGCGGGCAAACAAGAGCAATTGGAAGATTTTAAATAAGAGGATTTAGGAGGCATATATACAGTCAGGTCTTGATTAGTATGAATAAATCCCCTAAAGTACTCTCATTATTCCAATTTCATTAAGCTGGAACCAGTTACCATGTTTACATAAGTAAAACTTTGAATAAGCTAACTCAATACATGCTATCACTACAAGGAGTCCATTAATTGCATTAAGTGGGACCTAGCATATGTCCAAAATAAGATTTTAGAGATACATCTGTCAGTTGTGACTAAGAAAGACCAGAGGCAAAGGGATCAATTAGGCAGTTTTGATCTATGAAGTAATGGACACCTGTTCTTAGCACAGGGCACAGGGACTGGGACATAGTAGGCACTTAATAAGTGCATAATAACCAACTTACAGGGTAGAGTGGTGGCAATGGGATGGAAACGGGGTTGGGTGAAGAAGACAAAAGGAAACAACACTTGGTGATTGACAAAATATGGGGGAGGGGAATCACTAGTGAAGGGATTATGAATGGTCCAAGGTTGAATGTGAAGCATTTTGAGGACAATGCAGTTCACAGAAAAAAAGGATGTCTGGAAAAATACACCACCACAATGACAATGATGATGATGTTGATGATGATGATGATGATAATATCTGACTTTTGTATAGTGCTTTACAGTTGTCAAAGTACTTTACTTAACACATGATCTCATTGGATTTTCCAATAATTTGTGAGGTACTGCAATTATCATGATCCTCATTTTGATCACAAAGTCAGTAAGTGTCAGATGTAAGATATGGACCCAGGTCTTTTATATTTCCAAGTCTACCCCTCTTGCCACTGCCTCTCATTGTTTTTCTGCAGTTGGCTTTAATCAGTTCTGGCCTAGCTTTCTTACTTACAGATAAGGAAATTGAGGCATTTTATATGTCAAAGATCATACAACTACAGGAAAATATAGCAGAAACTAGAAAAACAGATCTTTTTGAATATTTCCATTATACTCCACTATGTGTCCTCATCATATTCAAAATGCTGACTTTTTTTCACTAGAGACTGCATGAGCTCAATTTGAACAAATCAGTGACAGTAATTAATAGATTTATACACAGAAACATCATTGTTACTATTTATTACTTCAGAATGGCTTCTTTTTAACACAATTTCTCAGAAATTTAAAGATGGAATATTAATATTATTTAAAATACATTCACAATTAGATACTGACAACCAATGTTCTAAATTTGGAGGGAAGATTTTTGCGAAGTGCAGATATCCAGTGTACAGCTAATTAGGTTATTTTTAAGACAGGTAGATACAGCAAGAGCTCAATAAAGTTTGCATTTGAATTCAGCCATTTTATATGTTGATATTCTGACTAATGAAAGGAACCTTTGTCTTAACTGGACAAAAAATATCTGTGATAAGATTATATTCTTGAGTTTTTTCTGTTCCTCTGTTTTGCCCCTTTTGTATTCCTGAAGCTTTACAATTACATGCTGTACTACCCTAGGAAAATCTCCAAGACTAAAAATTGAATAGAAAATGCTGGTCAGCATTGGTGGAGGGTGTTTCTTCATCCAAGAATTCCTTATATGAAAGAAATCATGGAACGAGGCCCTATTTTACGTTCATACTTAAACTTTCAGGTGGGAACAAAAAGACAAACCATTTTGCCTATTTCTACTATTTATCCATCAGTTCCTCCTGTCTGTTCCTTTCTTTTCTTTCTCTCTTCCTCCCTCCCTCTCTCCTTCTTTTTCTTCCTTCCCTCTTCCCTTCCTTCTTTCCTTCCTTCTGTACTTCTTTCTTTCTTTCCATACTTCTTTCTTTCCTTCCATACTTCTTTCTTTCCTTCCTTCCTTCCTTCCTTCCTTTCCTTCCTTCCTTCCTTCCTTCCTTCCATCCTTCCTTCTTTCTTTCCTACTTTATTGCTTATGAAGCATTTCTCAGCTCTAAGTCCTTGTCTCCCATTTGGATATCTGAATCCTGGATCTTCTACTATGTTCGTTTCACTGCAAATCAGCCTCCCTTGATTAGCGCAAATAACTCTCAGAATGTCTGGGCCTCAAAATAAGTCCTTTTTCATGTGTCCTAACCTCCACTTAGACTTATGTGGCTAGTTTTTACCTTGAGAGGAGTGCAATATATTCATTTGGTTTCAAAGAGTAGTTCAGGTGGAAATAGTATCCAAATGTGCCCTTTATAAATAAATAAATAAATAAATGTGTGTGTGTGTGTGTGTGTGTGTGCGTGTGTATACACACACATATATATATGTATATATACATACACACACACACTATATATATATATATATATATATATATATATATATATATATATACTTAAAAAGAGCTAAACTTCTTTTTCTTCTATAGTTCTTTGTCCCCAACCTCTAGTGAACAGAATAAAAAGCATTAATGAATACTGTGTCTCTCAGTGGTCCTTAGCCTATGTTTAGATTTTTGCTCCACCTCTACAAAAAGAAACAGACACAAACACAAACACAAACACAGTGTACACCCTAGAATCACCACATCTTGATGAAAGCAGAGCTGGACGACTAATGATGATGCATTAGATTTCTATTTTACCTTATTGCAAAAAGAATTAGGGAGAGAGAGAGAGAGAGAGAGAGAGAGAGAGAGAGAGAGAGAGAGAGAGAGAGAGAGAGACAGAGAGACAGAGAGAGACAGAGAAATAATCTTGGGGGAAAATGTATTGAGAAAGAGTTGATGGCTCTTGCAGCATTATAGACTGTAGGAATTCACATCCCTGCTGTAGATGGGAAGGTGCCTTCATACAGAATATAAATAGACTTTGGCAAGCTTTGAATTACCTACACTGTGTACTGAGCTTCTAGCAAAGCTCTACTGACATTCAGAATCAGCCTGAGCTCTAATGTGAGTTATTAAAGCTCAGGACCAGGTATTTCCATGGGGTGCACTTTGTTAGGCAAACAGGTCAAATAAACTTGTAAGTTAATTGTTTTTCCCCTATCAAGGTGGTAATAGCAGGAAGCAGAAATTTGTTATTTTAAATACTAAAAGCAATTTTATATGGTTCCTTATTAAGTACCACAAAGCAGACTGTGGGAACAGTTTACTTTTACGGAAATGTTTTATTAATTCAAGAATAAAATAAGGCCCAAAGAGTTATTTCTTTGCCTCAGGCCTCCTAATAAAGTCAATGGTCACATCAGGAATAGCAGGAAAGAATCTAGGAGGCCATTTCTGCATATGTATTAACTTAGTGAGGAGGTAGAAGAATGTATAAAAATGGCACAGAACCGGGATCTGAAAGGACCAAGACTTGAATCACATCTCTGATGCTTACTGGCTGTGTGACATGAGACTTCTCTGACCTTCAGTCTTCTTATCTGTAAAAAAAAAAAATGATAATAATAGCACCTACTTCCTAGGGTTGGTGTGAGGATAAAAATGAGGTAATATTTGTGAAGTGCATTACAAACCTTAAGGTGTTATTCTTATTACTTTCTTAGTGCTATTTGGGAAAGGATTTAAGGACACAACCTGCTCTACTTCCCAGACCTTCAGTCATATCATCTAATAAAGTTAGTGACTTGTAGGATGCTTTGATAGACTGAGCCCAATCCATTATAGCATCAATTTTATTTTAAATGAAAGATGAGACAAATTTAATGATTACTTGCAAGTGTATGACTTTCAGGGGAAAAAATGTAGTTCACTAACAAAAATATGGAAATTTATCTAAAACAAGCCCTATAAATTTTAGCCATGCCTTGAAGATAAAGAAATGTTACCATTTCTAAAAAAAAAAAAAAGGATAGAATTTGACTCCAAATCAGTAACTCTTTGGGGCTTGTCTTGGCATTAGGTTACCATCCTCTCAGAAGAGATCATAGAAGTATATTATCATATATTTAGAACAATAAATCATCTAGTCCCACCCCCTTATTTTACAGATGTGGAAACTGAATCCCAGAGAAGTTACTTGCCCAAGGTCACACAGTAGTAGAGTTTGAACTTGAACGCAGGTCCTGTGACTCAAATTTGGTAATCCTTGCATTGAAACTCTGCAAAGACAGACATACAAAGACGAAAGTAAATCAGTCATTGTCCACCAAAGATGTTCATTTTTTATAGGGGAGGGGGCATGCATATATTAAACCACATACAAAGTAGATACAAGGTAACACTGGGGGGGGGTGGAGGCATCACTAGAGCTGGGGTAGGGGCCAGTGGTGGTGGAGGAAAAGAATTCACTTTCAAGTGGCACTTGACCTGAGTCTCCAAGAACCATGGATTCCTCAATTCCAGTCACTTAACTCATGAGAAAATTAAGGGAAAAAAAATTTTTAAAACTTTGAAACCAATTTATTTTGGCAGTTCCTAACAAGAATATGGGAACATTATTATAGTCCTCCATTCCAAATGCCTCAAAAGGTAATGAAGTATTAGATAGCTGTGCTATTGCCAAGTATATGTAAGCATGCCCACTCCTCACGGTAGGTAAGCATGAACAGGTGCATTAAATCTTTTTCTATAGAGACACATGTGCATTTATACATCAGTGTGAGAATAATGTGTCTAGTGATATTTAAAGATCATATTCCTTTTTTCACATATGTAAGTATATGTTATTAATATAGTTGAAAGAACTAAAATTGACCTGTCAAAGTGACTATTGTTAGTTACTACTACACAATGTTTTAGTTAGAGATGCCAGAGTACTCAGTAATTTTTAAGGGGGCAAAAAGTGTAGAGAATGTGTTTAAGTCAAAATTCAGTTTACTAAAAGGAAAATAAAAAATAGATATATTTTTCTATATTGCAAGTCATAACTTGCACAGTAGGCCCTCAGTATTTTTTGTCAGATAATTGCATACAATGAAAAGAAGTCTGAGTTCAGAACCTGGAGATCTGGGTTCAAAAATAGTCTCTGACCTTTGATAGTTATGCGATCATTACCAAGTCATTCAGACTCTTCTAGCTTGTTTCTTTTTTCCTCTCTTGTTTAATATTGCAAAATCCACATTTTGTTTAAAATTAAAAATACTGTATAAATTTTTTCCTCATCAAAAATAATGGTAATTAATTTTCCTCATTACTCCTAGATAAACCATAAAATGTTTATTTGCAAGTTCTCCAGTATAAACTTGCAAATCAAGATGATGCATGGAATTCATGGAATGAACACAGATAGATTTTTCATGTTTGTATAATTGACTACAAGATCAGAGAACAGAACTTACAACTTCACTGATGTGAAAATATGTTTAATAGGAATATAAGTGTAAAGCCTATATCAGATTGTGCACCGTCTTGGGGAGGGTGGGGGGGGGGAAGTGGGAGAAAAATTTTCAACTCAAAAGCATATGGAAGTGATCTTTGATAAATCAAAATAAATTAATAAAAATTAAAAAAATTAAAAAAATTAAAATTAAGAAAAAATTTTTTAAAAAGATCAGAGAACAAAAATTTCTATGTATACCTGTGAAAAGTTCATGAAACACTTAATGTCTAGCCTAGCTTTAGTTTCCATATCTTTGAAAGCCCCTACCTACCTCAGAAACTGTTGTGGGAAAGTGATCTTTAAAAGCTTCTCAGACTATGGAGCCAAGAATTGTTTTGATGCATTATGTAAACTCCCTCTGATTCCATCTTGTAGTGAGGAGATTATCCTGGGTTCTTAATGGCTGTTCCAATGGAGGCTGCTGACTGTTAGACATCCGGCCTGCCAAACTGGAAAGGCTTTAAGTTTAGGCCTAGAGAATGACAGTGGATCTTCTTTGAGGACCAACTCAGCTACCATGGAGGACATCATCAGAAAGTTGGGCTTTAGGTGATGAATTTGGAGGGTTGTCATCTACATCTCTAAAGAAGGTACCCATAATGATGAATTGATTGAACCTTGAAGTAAATAACAGTACCTACCAATGGGTTCTTAATAAATACTTGTTGACTTACTTGACTTTATTCACCTTTTACATGCCTTTTTAAATGTGTTTTGGCAATATTGCTTACAACATTATGATTTTGACAATAATTTGACAATAATTCCCATTGTCTCCTCTTTCTGCTTCTTCTGCACATGAATAATGAATACCCTTTGTTTCTTTCTACTGTGTCTGTTCTTATCGATTAATCAGTTAGTAGACATATTTATTTGCATGTGAATGCTTCATGCAATAAAAGTATAAGACACAGTCCCAGCATTTAAGGAGCAAACAATCTACATGGTTATATGACATATTTCAGCAGATAACTAACAGGCCAAGCTATATAGTCTAATGAATAATTAGACATAATTAGTATAACACTTTACTGAATAAAGAGATCAATTCTTAGAGTGTCAAGCAAAAAATTCATAGAGGAAGTGGTATTTAAGCTGGAGTTAAAGAATAAGTAGACATTAAATTGATAGAGAACAATGAGACCAGCAATCCCAAATGAAGGAAATAATTTGATCAAAGACTTGGAGATAGGGAGACAAGACATTTTCAAGAAACAGCAAACAGCCAGTTGTTCTTTTAACCATTACTAATGCCAGTCTAGACTGTCTCTACAATCAATTGTTCCCAGGTTGTGGAGCATTATTGGAGAAAGTCATGAAGCTGTGGAGGTTTGAGTCCCCTAGAAGTGTGTATTATCTAACTTTGTCAGCATTCACTTCCTGGGTAATTTATTTCTTATTGATTCCATATTTATTACCCAATGCAGTTCTTCCAAACCATTTCTGGGTCCTCTGTCCCTTACCCCACCTCCCCTCATCCCATTCTTACTTTTAACAGATCATGTTACCTCATATTTAATGGATATCAAGGCCATTTTCTTTAGGTCTTTTTTTTCCTCATTCAAATTACCTTTGTTGCCACATACTTATAACCTCAAACTTTCTCTTGTACTTAGAAGAATCCCTTCTTTATTTAGAAGACTTACATGAAATAATGAAAAGTGTAATGAGCAGAACCAAGAAAATATTGTATGCAGTAACATGAATATTGTTTGAAGAGTAATTGTGAATAATGAAGTTATTCTGAGTACTTCAAATACTCAAATCAACTATTAAAGACCTATGAAGGAAAATACTATCCACCTCCAGAGAAAGAATTGATAAATAGAAGCACATGTAGTATGGTTTCATATGTATGTGTGTGTATATAACCATATATACACACACATACACATATACATGCATATATATATACATATACACATATGTGCATATATAGACATACATACACATAAATATATACATTTATACACATACTTGTGCATACATATGTGTATTACTATATAATATATGTTTTATATGTGTATGTATATACATGTGTGTGTATGTATGTCAAATGGTGTCCTTCTCAAGTGCAGGGGAGGGAGAGGGACAGTTCAGAACTTAAGGTTAGAACTTAAAATGTAATTAAAAAAACAAATACAAAATAAATTTTAAAAATAGGCTCTCATTTTCCACCTCCAACTCTATTCTCAATTCCCATTTGCTCTAAGACCTTCCTCCATATTATGCTTTGTCTCTCTTTGATCTTCCATCCATTTGCTCCACTGGCTATATTCTCCCCTTCTATAAATGCATTTCATTTTTTTACTATCCCCCCAAATTTTCTCTTGACTTTTCTATCATTTTGTTTCTCTTATTTCACCTCCAAACTTAAAAGCATGATCTAGATTCCTTAAATTCTTGTCATCCTCCTCATCCATTATTGCGTTGGAACTGCCCAAGGACACCAATGTTATCCTCATTACCAAATTCAATAGGCCTTTTTTCTTACCCTTATCCACTGCACAGTTTGATATTATTAACATAGTGACGTGCATAGAGTAGCGAATGTTTGTTGAGTTGACCAGACCTTTCTTCTTGAAATTCTAACTTCTCTTGGCTTCTGTGATATCATATCATACTTTTTTTTTCCTTTTACCTTTCAGTAGCTCTTTCTCTGCCCTTTTTATTGGCTCCCATTTCTCCTTCTTTCTTCTAAATGTGGGTTCTTTTTCCAATATGGCTTATTACTTCACACTCTTATCTATATACTCTGTCCTTCATAGATAACCTTTATGAAAAGGATTGCCAAATTTCTATCTATAGCCCCAGCCTCTTTCCCATGCTACAGACCCACATTTCCTCTTACAAATGTCCTATAATTATCTCAGACCTAATATATCTAAAACTGAATTTATGATACCATCATTTTCCTAGTAACTAAGATGTGAACATTTGGTCCCTGCCTCTCTCCTTACCTTTAAAGAACCCTCTATAAAATGGAAATAACAATGCCACTTTATGACATAGTGGAAAGAGTGCTTAGAGTCAGAGACTTAGGTTCAAATATTGTGTGACTATAGGCAAATCATTCAACTTCTCTGAAATCTTACACAACCAAGATTTATGCCCCAAGGAAATTTCCTTTCCACATGTATTTTTTAGCCCACAGAGTTGATGAGGCTAGAATGTATGTAGTCTGTGTATAACTAGAATGTACGTAGAGTGCTTTGTAAATCTTATACTGCTCTATAAATGTCAGTTATCCTAATTCCCACAGTGTAACCCTTGTTCAATTTCTTATTACCTGCCTAGTATAGTAACAGCTTCCTATATCTCTGATTGTTTCTGCACTCCTATCCCTCCTTTACACAGTCATCAGATTCACATTCCTAAATACTTGAATCTTGCACTCAAAAATCTGTAATTTCCAAATCCAAAGCATGACATCTATTGAGCTCCGCAATATCCTAACCTCCATTTCCAGCAGTGTTTTCACTAAACCACCTATTTTTGCTTTTCCCCATTTTTCATAGATGTTTCAATTTGCCTGTTGCTGTCTATGTCTTTGCACATGAAATTTCCTCTATCTGGAATACTCATATCGCTGCCTATCAAAATGCTACCCACCTTTCAAGGACTAACTGAAATACCATCTGAGGAGTAGTAAACTTTAACAGAAAGAACACTGTTACCTCTGACACTTACTACCTTTGTGACCTTGGGCAAGTTATGTAACATCTCTGGTTCTCAGCATCCTTATCTGTAAAATGAGGAATTTAGGTTCATTAACCTTTGAGATCCCATCTTATTCTAGTTATGTAATCCTATGAAATGCCTTATTTTCCATGATGTCTTTCCTGATGACATTAACTGGAAGTTGTATCTTTCTTAGCAGAGGTAGAAATTCCCTCATAGCAGTTTAAGGGAGAAAGAGTAGAGAGAAACAGAAAGCTAAGAACTTTACCTTGGGAAATTTGGAACTTGGATAAAAAAGGAGTTTGGCAAAGAAATAAACAAGATATAATTAGGAAGCAATAGAATACGTATATTCTCGGGTGATGGAGATGAGTAGGGGAGAAAGTACTTTAAGTAGAGGGATTAAAATTCTGAAAGTATGTAGAAGTCAAGGAGAATAACATGGAAAAGACAACTGGGTCTGACAATTCCATCATTCATGATTTCCTATGTTAGGTTTCAGTGGAATGATTGGGTATGTTTGAGTAAAGGTCAGATTTCGATGCACTGAGAGAAGACTAAATAGTAATGATGTTGAGGCAGTTGGTATAGAGCACTCATTTAAGAAATGTGTCAGTGAATGGAAGCAGAAATTAGAAATGTAACCAAAAAAACCTATTCATTCCTTTTCCTGGTCTTTCTCTAATCTCTAATCCTGCCAGCTTTTTCCAAGTGGAATATATTTAGGGATCACAAAAGCCTACCCTGGGGAAACTTCTGTAGCGTGGTTATATTGGAAAATAGTATCATCTAACAAAAGGAATTGGTTACTTCTGTTTAGAGGTGGTCTTAATTAAAAAAACATCTTCTCTGCATATCATAATATCATAGATCCAGAGCTCTAAGGCACCTTGGAGGTCATTTAGTCATTTTATAAATGTGGATACTGAGGTTCATAAAGGGGCCCCAAGTCACAGAAGATACTCCTCATTCACCAGCATTCAAAATATGTACAACTCATAAATGAAACAAAAAAAATAAATCATTATATGTAATAATATCCTCTAGATTTACAGATTTGGGGAGCCCTGTACTATCATTTTTCCATGATGCCACTTCTGCTTAGAGTACCCAGCTCTACTTAGCACATATATTAGCATTAAAGTCTAACAACCAGTTACTGTGCAATTACCCTTCAGCAAGTGAATAGGATGAGCAAACAATGCTGAGATATACTTACAGCTCCTAATGAAGACCCCAGTCATTTGTTAAATAGGAAAATTTGGGGATTGAAAAAAGTCACTTATAAATACTTTACGAAGTCACTCATATAAAAGCATGGCCAAGAGAATAGGGGTAGATTCAGAGAAAGTATTATTGTGACAAATGTCTTCTCTGATCTTTCAACACAATCATCATTGCTAAGTCATCTAGTGGGGTGTGTGTGTGTGTGTGTGTGTGTGTGTGTGTGTGTGTGTGTGTGTGTGAGTTAAACCTCCCGACACTTATAGGATAATCCAATAAAGACGCTATCCCTATGAATTGACATGAAACAGAGAAACCCAATCACAGACACACAGAGAAAGCCACTCAGAGGCAATGAAAGAGGCTTCACCTGCTCCTTTGCTGTCCTTCATTCTCCCCAGTAGAAATTTGTCTACAGAAATCTACCATGTGATGGGCCAACGAAAACAACAACCCAAAGGTCTCTCTCTGTCTCTCTGTCTCTCTGTCTCTCTCTCTCTCTCTCTCTCTCTCTCTCTCTCTCTCTGTCTCTCTCTCTCTCCCTCTCTCTCTCTCTTTCTCTCATTGCATATAGGTAGCCACAGATTGTGAAGAAAAGTGATCACTTTATCATAGCTACTGGAAACAGCTGATACATTTTTTGCCCCCATAGAGCAAAGGCTCTACTTCCTTGGTGACCATCAGACAGCAACCAGTCTACATAGTCACATGTTACAGTAGATGGTCAAGTGTTGGACCTAGAGTCAGGAAGACCTGAGTTCAAATCCTACCTCAGATACTTAGTAGGTATATGAATCTGGGCAAGTCACTTAACCTCTATCTGCCTCCATTTCCTCATTTGTAAAATGGAGATAATAATAGCACCTACTTACCTCCTAGGTTGTTATGAAGATGAAATGAGATTATACTTTTTAAAGCATTTTGCAAACCTTAAAGCAATATATGAATGCTAGGTATTATTATTATTAGTAAGAAATATACATTTCTGTCTTTTGTTATATATGTTATCTCTTCTTATAAAAATATAATTATGACTAACTGTACCTGTATTGCCAGGAAAAGGTCATTACATTCAAACAAGGGGGAAAGTTTAAGAAACATAAAACAATTACTTTAGATGTAGACTTAGAAGTGTTCATCCAATTTAAAAGTAATGAAAAACTTAACCAAATTGTTAAATATTAGGATCATCATGGTGACAGGATGCATCTGATGTGAGGAAGAAGCAGATAATCAAACTGTCAGGGCGCTTCAATGTTCTATTTTCACTTTTAGCATTTTTATTTTGTTTGGTGACATTTTCATCACATCGCCTGATTAGTGCTAATGTTTTAAGCTTTGTTAATATCAGCCATCATCAGGTTGCTCTTTTCCTCTATGTAATTTTAACGTCCAAAGAATATTTTTCTCTAGCAGATTATATCTAAGTTTCTAGCAGAAGAAATGGAAATTCATGTATTTAACATAGTTTTCCTTGAAAGCAAGCTCTACTACAATTTATTTCTTCTCTCAAACCCCAGATATTTTGATTTTTAGGGTCACTTGGCCCTTCTATGATCAATAGTATAGTCCCTTGTAAATCTATTAGAGGATGGAGTAGGGGCATCTTCCTATCCTGATCATAAGTATATCACAGTTTGCACTTTAGGCGTAAGTAAAATATTTTAAAAGTGGAAAAGGATGGGAAAAAGGGTAACTGGGAAAAGGGAAACTGATCCAAACAGCATTTATTTAAAAGAACAAAAAAAGAAAACAAAACATCTCGAATGCAAGGAACTGTGTTGGGCATTAGGGATATGACAATGAAGCAAAGCAAATAAAAAATATAGCTTATTCTTTAAAGGAGCTAACATTTTAACAGGGTAGTACAACATGTAAACAAATTAATATATACATGATTATTTAAGAAGGGAGAGAGCACTATGATATGCAGTTGTTTTTCAATTATGTCCAGCTCTTCGTGAACCCATTTGGGATTTCCTGGGCAAGGGCCTTGGAGTGGTTCATTATTCCCTTCTCCAGCTTGTCTTACAGATGAGGAAAGTGAGGCAAACAGGGTTAAGTGACTTGCCCAAGGTCACACAGCTATTAAGTGTCTGAAGCCAGATTTGAACTCATGAAAATGGACCTTTTTAACTTCAGGTCTGGTACTCTATCTACTGCACCACCTAGCTGTCCTACAGCTAGAATCCAGAAGGATCAGGAAAGGAAAGCACAAAATTCCAGAAAATATTACAGATCTGACACTGCTCCTTCTAAAAGCAGAAGATAGAGGGTCAGCATGCTGTGATATTGAGGATGGTCTTACATGTTCATCTTCTTGCTGTCTGCATTCTTCAGTGACATCTTAGCCCAGTAATGATCCTTGGTGTCAAATCAACAACCATTGATTAAGTAACCAGACAGTTATGCTAAGCCCTGGGAGTACAAAGAAAGGTATAAGACAGTCACTGCTCTCAAGCTGCTCATAGTCCAAGGAAGGAGACAACATACAAATAAACTATGCACAGACAGATATAGAAGAGAAATGGTTTACAATGCAAATACCCACCATTAAGGACAGTGAAGCAAGCTTTGAAAAAAAAAGAGGGTATACTTATATTCTGGTTTGAGGAAAAATATTTTTCATTTATTTCTTCAATAAAGAATGTAAGTTTATGTGATTTGGCCCCTTCCTTTAATGATTTTGTTGTTGTTGTTAAGAGAAAAATGTGGTTCTGTATCTCCTGAGTGTTTATCATTTCATCAA